AAAAAGATAATGATGCTTTTTCTGGGTAGTAAGTTTCCAGATAAATTCTTTTCTTCTTTTGTGCATTTCTACACTTTCTGCAACAAACATATATTTTGTGATCATGAAGGAAATTCTTTTTTTTTTGGCCGCGCCGGGTGGCTTGCAGGATCTTAGTTCTCCAACCAGGGATTGAACCCACGCTCTCCGCAGTGAAAGTACAGAGTCCTAACCACTGGACTGCCAGGGAATTCCCAGAAAATGTTATTTTTAAAAAGGACATGTGGATATGCCTCAGATGGCACTGCCCTCTGAAGTCACAGGTGACATCCTCCAGGTGGAAACCAGTGGTCATATTTTTTTGGACAAATGTTTGTAAACAACACTGCGATAGCTTTTAGGGGATTGCAAAGAGGAGTGGGACACATTTTTTCACCCTTGAGGGGCATAGTTGATGGAGAAAGAAGACTCACTCACTTTACCAGTATTTATATGGAGCCTACCCGCAAAGTCCACAGCTTCTCATAAAGGCTAGTTTCTCCGAGACAGTGAAAATGTAATGTTTAAACGTGTGGGCTCTGGACCCAAAGCTCCTGGGTTCAAATCTCACTTCATCACTTCTTACCTGTGTGACTTTGGACACACTATTTGACCTTTCTGTGCTCTGGTTGCCTCGTCCATAAAGTGAGACCAAAACGAAGAATACTTGGGTGGGTTGTGAGACCTAAGGAAACCGAGAGCTGGGGGGTACCTGGAGAGTGCGGCCAGTTGGTTTCTTGGATTCCCCATAAATCTAGGAGAAGACACTGGGCTATAGTGGTGACTCAATTTTTGTCCTGCTCCACTTGGGTTAATGATTACTCTGTCCTTAAGTTGCTCATCCAAGATCCAATGCAACCTACTGCTTCTATGGTCTTAGAACGCAGACTCCACGAACCCAGCTGATGAGTTAGAGACTGCGTGTTATGAGCCTGATAAGCAAGCCTTCCAGGAAGTTCTTTCAGGGCAGGGTAACTCAGACCTGTCCTCTCCTCGGTCTCTCCCCATCCCTGATCAGGCTCAGCCAGTGGAGAATTCTCTATCCTTTATCCTCTGGGGGGTGGGGGGTGGTTATGAAGATACGTTATTGGTGTTGAAACCCATACCATCAACATAATTAGATTTTTCTGAGATGATTAATTTCAGAATTGACTTTTTTGGGCAGTTTAGTAATTCTTCAGATTCAACTTATTTTTATTTTTTACTGAGTAAAAAAATAACTTTCAGACTTCCCTGACGGCGCGGTGGTTAAGAATCCACCTGCCAATGCAGGGGACACAGGTTCGAGCCCTGGTCCGGGAAGATCCCACATGCCGCGGAGCAACTAAGCCCGTGCGCCACAACTACTGAGCCTGCGCTCTAGAGCCCGCGAGCCACAACTACTGAGCCCGCGTGCCACAACTACTGAAGCCCGCGTGCCTAGAGCCCGCGCTCCGCAACAAAAGAAGCTGCCGGCGATGAGAAGCCCGCGCACTACGACGAAGACCCAGCTAAGCCCAAAATAAATAAATTTAAAAAAAACAACAACAACTACTTTCTATTTAGGAAAAAAAAAGTTCCAGTACGGTCATCTCTTAGCCACACCAAAAAATAATGTGTTTCTCAAGATGAAAAAATCAGAAGCGCTAGAAGTAAGTTCCACTGACACAGTTACATTTTTCATTCACGTTTAACGTCATTTCAGTTAAAACTGCTTCGGGCAGCATCAATAGTTAACCTAACATTAGGTAAGAAGGAAGTGGATTCTAAGAGGCCGAATGACTATGTACATAGAGTAACTGGAGGCTCTGCGCCGCTGCACCTTATCTGGTATGATCAATTACAGCTATGAGTTGCCACAAACAGATGGGGCGGATGGCAACTTGAAAGCAGGCAGCGTGGGTTCAGATCTCACTCTGCTGCCCACCTGTGGTAATGCTGTGACAGGAGAGCCCTCTGAAAGCCCCAGCTCCTGCGGCTGGAAAACGTTAATAATGCAGGCCCACCTGCCCTTTCCCCAGATCCCCAAGTCAGCACAGCTGTGATGCTGGTCCAGGGCTGAGGAGACCCAGCATCTCGGCTCCGTCCTGCCCTGCACTCTCGCCCTCAGCTCTGAGGCCAGAGCAGGCTTGGGCTCACCAAGTGGGCCACCTTCCAATTGTCTCTATTTTCTTACTGCCTTGCCGCAAAACTCCAGGCACAGAGAATCTACCAACGAGGAGCCTTTTCCATCCCGAGTCTGCTTTCTGCCTAGACCTGAAGGAGCCTCTCTTAACTCCCTGGGGAAGGGCATTTAAGGCTCCTGAAAATGCTCCTTTAAAAATCCTAGCAGGGGGGCTTCCCTGGTGGTGCAGTGGTTGAGAGTCCGCCTGCCGATGCAGGGGACACGGGCTCGTGCCCCGGTCCGGGAAGTGCCCCGGCCCGGGAAGATCCCACATGCCGCGGAGCGGCTGGGCCCGAGAGCCATGGCCGCTGAGCCTGCCCGTCTGGAGCCTGTGCTCCGCAAGGGGAGAGGCCACAACAGTGAGAGGCCCACATACCGAAAAAAAAAATTAAAAAATCCTAGCAGGCACCATTTCCTTTTCTGGCTTGGGCTTCTTTGCCCACAGCTCACAGCCTCCTCCTAGCCACAAAGGTCCTGGGATTTCTTTCTGAGTCCCCCGGAGACGGTAAGGTCTTCTCTCTTCCCCAATAAATCCTCAGTCCGAAATGATAGGCTCTTTGTTTTAATATCTCTGGACTGAAAATGAGGGTTTAATTTTTGACCAAATAGAGGCTTGGAGGATTCTGCAACTCCTCATAGCGCTGTTAGGGCACACGAAAAAGCCAGTTTTCCTCCTGACACTCGCCTGTCTAGAGGCGTTCACTGTCTGTCTTGCTCCCCAGGTGAGCCTCAGGGCCTAGCCTAGCGCTGTCACAAAACGCTGACGCCCACAGGGAACACTGAACAGCCATGAGACGCTTTCCTCTTAGAACCCCCCTTCCCCTTCTAGAGGCTTCACCCTCATTCTCTGGGACCAGGCTTGCCCATTACTTCCTCTGGGAAGTCTTCCTTGAATTCCTCTGGTCTTATGAGTTATTCCTCTCTGGCTTCCCGGATCCATTATTTTGGCACTGAGCATATTGCAAATGGTTTTTTTTTTTTTTTTTTTTTTTTTTTTACAGAACTAGAACAAAAAAGTCTTAAAATTTGTATGGAGACACAAAAATCCCCGAGT